TCCCCAGGCGCTCAATAGCTGCCCACTGCTGCACCTGGGGGCATTCCAGGTGCGATGGGTTAAATGCAGAGAACCAGTTAGATAGGACTTTTCATTAGTTTATGGTGCTGAACAGAAACCTGGGGCTATTTTTATTCTCATCTATTAAAGATGAATCACAGATCAGAGCGGACTCTCAGCTACTACCACTCAAATATCAGCTCGTGTCCATCAGAGGTGTGTTCAAAGGCTGATTACCTCTGGAGGCCATCTGGACTCAGGTAGAGTCCACAACATGGATGGATCCGTCCTTCTAGCGTTCTGACCCACTTTGACCCACTCTGGTTGTGTAACTCCTCACTTCTGAGGAGGCTGTTGTTGTTGTTGTTGTTTACAGGGAGCTGATGAAACGGACTCAGCTGAAACAGTTCTGCTCAGCCTCAGAACCTGCCCGGTTCTCCTCAGGTGACAGTGGGCCCGGTTCAGGGATGAGTCAGAGCCCGGTTCGGCCCGTTCTCAGCTGACCTACCTTCCTCCCTCAGAGGTCATCAGAACATCTGAGCTGCAGCAACCGCTGTTGCTACGGTGACCCGGGCCGACAGGTTGGTGTCAGAACCACAGCTGCACCTGTGTTGGTTCAGGACATTGGACGATCCTCATCACCTTCATCATCTTCATCGTCTTCATCACCTTCATCACCTTCATCACCTTCATCACCTGCATCCTCATCGTCACATGAGGAAAAAGTTTCATCCATCATCTTTTACCCGCTTCTTCCATTTTGGGTCACGGGGGTCGCCGGTGCCCATGTCCAGCAATCACTGTGCGAGGGACGGGGGACACCCTGGACATGTCTCCAGTCCATCACAGGGCGAAAGAAGTTCTATTTAGAGTCAAATGTTCTGTTTGTTTAAAAACCCAAACGAGACGGAACCGATCAGTAAGAACACCTGAGATGAAAACAGGTAGAACCAGCAACAGGTGTGGGAACACCTGAGATCGGACCGACACAGAACACAGAACCAAAACCACATCAGGCCCAACAGGAAGTCAGAACCTTCTCTGGAGAATCTACGGAGCGGGAACCAGACTCTTATTCTGAAGCCAGAACCAGAACCAGAACCAGACTTTTGTCTCTTTCCTCTGATGTTGATTATTTCAATCGAACGTTTATGAACTTTGTTTTTTTCCTTCTCTTTGTTCCACGTCTGCTTCTCTTGGTTCTGGCCCGTCGGACCACAGGAGCATCAGTGTGAGGTTCTGCAGGGGAGGCCAGGCTGGGCTCTGACTGGATGAAAGGTCGGTCCGGCCCACTCATGTGACCCGGTACTCAACAGGAATAAATCTGGATTACATCTAAATCAGCTAAAGTTCTGGTTCTGAAGCTCGGATCAGGTCCAGATGTTGTCCTTCAGTTCAGCCAGAACATTATGACCACAGATGTAACTGGACCTGAGAGTGGAGCAGTGGTACCATCATGGTCAGGTTCACCACAGACCAGTCAGGAACCAGGCTGAGCCGGACCAAAGCTCCTGGACCACAGGTCGGTGGAAGGTGGTCTGGTCTGAGGGTCCAGGTGCATTCTGGGAAGGAGGAGATCTGGTTGAGGAGGTCTGATACAGTTCTTGTGGGAAACCCAGGATGATTGGTTCTGACCCAGTCCCCCCACCTGGTGCTGACCTCCTTCATTCAGTCAGCTTTCATTTCTACAGGTTAGTCCCAATGAGCCTCGAGGACTCGTTGACACCTGATTTAAACAAAGAGTGAGGACAACAGGAGACAATCATAAAAGATGCGTACACATTTAAATTTCTTTATTTTAAATTTTTATTTTTTACAAATCAAAACAAAATATCAACCAAACGGACAATCAGGAGGAAGAGTAGCAAAAATAAAATAAAACAGATTATAAGACGGTGAAGAAAACTAAAAACAGAACATGTCTGTGTTGGAACTGAACATCTGTTAACATCTGTTAACAGATGTTAACAACTGTTAACAGATGTTAACAGATGTTAACAGATGTTAGGATGAAGCTCCGCCCACGCTGCAGGAACAGAACCTCCAGTTCTAAAGAGTTCCACTCGGTCCATTTGACTGAGGGATCTTCGGGACCAAGAAGTCTGATCCATGGGGGTCCCTGTGGGCTGACAGGTTGGAGCCAGACCCTGCAGGAGACCTGCAGAGGTCCAGAGGAGACTTGAAGAATCCACAGGACCCGGAGTCCAGGACGATCCGGGTCGGGTTTTCTGGACCTTTATTTTGTTAATTTATTAGAAACTTTTATTAAAATTCAGAATCAGAGAATCTTTGTCTTTCTGGCAGCAGTGTGCGCGCGCGCGCCCGCGGGGGGCGTGCCCTGCTCGGCTTGACGTCACCAGGTCTCACAGATCGGCTCCAGTTTGCTTCGTCAGGTTCTGAGTCGGTTCTGATTTGTTCCTCCTGCCCGGTTCTCCTGGTCTTCGTGTAGAACCGAACCTCCAAAACTCGGCCTCCTCAGAACCGGCAGTCGCTTCTCCTCCGGACCAGATTTCCCGTCCGGACCGCCGGTACCGATCCAGAATCAAGCAGGCGTGATGGAGAAAATGTCCCGAGCCTTCCCTCTGAACCCGAACTTTGTGGCTCCGGGTCCACACGGGGTTCTGAAGAGTCTGGAGCTGGAGAACCTTCTGAAGCTGCATGATGAAGGTGAGGAACCAGAACCAGATCCGGAACCTGTTTCAGAAATGATTCCAGGATTTTCTGAAGTTTCCTTCAGTCTCATGGGTTCTGAAAGGTTCTGATGGTTCTGACTCCAGCCTGGTGCTAGATGTTCAAATAAACTTTTATTATTAGTTCTGGTTAGGTTTAGTTGTTTTAAAAGGATAATTTGACTTAATGACTTATTTCATGTCATTAAAGTCAAACTGAACACGTTCTGAATTTATGAGTTAGTAAAATTTTCTCTCCAGAAGTTTAAATTTAATTAAATTTAATTAAGTTTAAAGACTTATCTCCCTTAATTAATAATCACGTCTTGGACCTACTTAATTTGTCTTTAATGGATGGTTATGTGCCACAGAGCTTTAAGGGTGCTGTAATTAAACCTTTACTTAAGAAGTTTGATCTTGATTCAGAAATTCTGGCCAACTATAGATCTATATCTAATCTAACTTTCATCAACTATAGATCTATATCTAATCTA